TGCCCACGGCGACGGGAAACCCGGCTCGGCTCTCCTGGCAGCTGCCAGCACGGAGGGCACCGCTCCTAAACACCTGCGTGCCAGGAGACCACAGCAAGTGCAAAATCTCCTTCTCCCAGTTCCCAAGCACTGAACAAGACAGACAGGCAGCAACTTCATCCCGGCACAGCAAACCCGCTCACTACCATGAGGCCGCCCAACAGAGCAGCTCCTCCAACCTGTTACTTGTCAGCGAGACATTCAGTGAGACACTCTTCCTTGTGCCCTCAATCCCACAGGTCAGCTATGAATCTCTGCACTGCACAGGTCAACAGAAAGCAGCTCTTCAGCTTTGCAGCTACAAACTGCAATTTTAAGCCATTTTCTAAATCTACTATTAAATTCTCAGTGCAAGTTAGCTAAGCAGTGCAAATGCACGGATTTGAACGCACAGCTAATTCTCTACCACATCAACTAATTGAGAAAGCTGTTGCCTTTTTGTTGTTGGCTGATACCCAATATTTAATACTCGATATTTAAACTCTTAATTTATTGTACTAGGGCTTCATATAGAGATAATATGATTTAGGCTCGGGTAAAATAAAAGTATTTACTGTTAATACTTTCCTAAAATACACGTTTAGGAAGGATTTCAGCCATAAGAACAATAAAAGAGGTGCCTGCACTCAGTGATCTACTTTCTCTTTGCAGCTTTGGCTTTCTGAAATGTTTTACAGCCCAGAAAAATAAAGAAACAACACCCAGCCTATTTTATTTGCTTAGAAAAAATAAAGCTCCAACCTGTTCAGCACCCTCATTGAGGCCCTAGTGTGCAGCTGAGCAGTCACCAAGCTGAAGTTCAAAGCAGCACCAAAATTGCAACAAAAACTACCAAGCAGTACTTAATTATTGTGATGAAAGAAATGAAGTGCTGAGATTTCCCCCTTCAAATGAGAGAAAATGTCCCTGTAAAAGCCATAGGAACCTGGTTCAGGGGCTTAGGAGTAGGTTCAATGAGGAAGCAACTTTTCAAACACAAATGCTAAAACTAACTAGACCTCAACCTATCCCACTACCCTTTAATTTAAGCCCTACTACACTCCACACCCAACGTCACCAAGAATGCCGAGGCGTAAGAATTACTATACACACATGCTCTCTGCCAGAGCGAGTAAGCCACACTACTCCCACTAGCCCTGCCTCCACAGGACATTTCATATATATATATATGTGTGTGTGTGTGTGAGAGATGAGCTATATATATACATATGTATATATTTATTTATACACACACATACACACAGAGCTTTGCTCATCTTTGCTGCATGTGTTAGAGAACTTCACCAGCTTACACACTACCCCCTGCAAAACTCCCTAGTATCATACGTCAACTTTGTGCACACTTACGTTAAAATTTATCAGGCTTCAATATTTCTGGATCCTGTTGCAAAATACCACAGAAAGTTTAAATAAGTTGATCATAACCAAATCTGGCTGGAAAACAAAAATTCCATTTTACTCTATTTTTTGAGATTTCAACAATTGGTCAGGCTCCAAAGCAGAACAGCGCTTTCCAAAATTCAGCCAGACACAGACAGTAAATGGAAGACTGAGGTTCAAGCTTTCCCAACAGGAGTTTGATCAGAACAGATAAGACCTCTGAAAGCTTTCTGTTAAATCAGTATTTTCCATTCAAAAACTGGTTTATTGAAAAGTTCCTAAACAACTCTAATTATAGTATCCTTTTAAACACGCCTGAGTTTTAGGCAGCATGTTCAAAACCCACAGTTAAGCAAGCCTTATTGTTACTTAATATTTCCATGTTACTCCGATTGCAACTATTAAATAAGATGCCTTGGCACACTTGGGTAAACCCAGTGAACATACACTCGGTGCCTGGATTTTTTGGCTAAGCTTGCTCACTTGAGCTCCTGCTAATTGTCCCCAGGTCTGTCATGAAACACCAACTCAAGCGTATGCTGCTCACCTCTAAGCACCACTCCGTGGTGAAGATGCAAGCCCTAGGGATAGTGAAAGCAGGGCTGCAGATGGGGGCAGAGCAGCAGGGTCCAAGGCAGCGGGGCGGCCTGAGGAAGCAGCAGGTAGGAGAGGGGCAGTTCCTCTCCTTACTCTCACTTTCTGCCTGCGAGGCAGCCTGGCATTCAACCCAAATGCCAGACAGGCAGCTCGGGCCCTGCCGACCTGCTTGCCACCAGGGAGGTGGGTGCTCTCTACAGCACCCCGTCACCTGAGCCTCCAGGGTGGTGAGGTGCTCTCCATAACGCCCCAAACACAGGCTGCACGGAGGGTGAGTGGCGAGCTCACTCTACAGAAAGGCACCTTCTGAGATGAGGGCTCCTGACAAGAAGGAGTTTCACAGTGGCTCTAGAAAAGTGCCGCGTGTTGGAGCCTTTTGGGTGGCACGTTACAACACTCTGCAAGCTCCCCTCGGGAGCAAGCGGAGCGGCGCGGCTTGGCGCCCGCGCAGGCCACGGCTACGCCCTGCGGCCCCGGCCAGCTGGGAGCCGCACAAGAGCCGCAGCCGGAGCACAGCGCGCCACAAAGCGCGAGCACCGCGCACCACCGGCTGCTCCTGTTATACCCTGTCAGGGCTGCAGGCACTCAGGAGACAGAGCTTTTATCCCGAGGGCGTGCTGTTCTATCTGCAAAACCTGTCTGCTCAACACTGAAATCCTTTCCTTACAAAAACAATAATGAAATAAATTATGCTCTGCCTCTCCTATCTAATGCTGCTTTTGAAATCTCACGAGTCCTACCCTGCATAGCAGCAGATCCAGACAACCCAGACATACCTGATGACTCAGGAGCAACCAAATAGACCATTTCTGGAAATCAGTAGGCTTTTTGCTAAAAAATAGCTGTGAAATAGCCTTCAGAAACAAGTACATTATTTCAGAAAATAGTCTCAGAAAGACCAGACAAAAGAAATAAGTTTCACATTCATGTATATATGTGAACTTGTCAAAAAAACTTCTTACAATAAAGTATTCCTCCATTACTCACTGGAAGATGGTAATTGAATTCAAAACCTTTTCCCTTTTCTTTTCAAAGCTTATTTAAACTTTTTACTTACTGTGCCGCTCCTCAACTCAGTAAGCCTGTTTTTTCCCCTTATATACTTCAGGATTCTTTCTTAACTTTAGCAAGCCCTAACAAAACAGCCATGATGCGAATCTTGCAAGAAGGAGAGCAGTTCATAAAACCAGGTTGCTATACACAGGGGCTACGAACTACAGCCCTTCTAGATGCTTTATCCAGACCTTCAATAATGTCACGTCACTGCAAAAGCCATTCCGTTCAGCAAGGTCAGTACCGCCAAGGGTTTATGTGGAGGTTATTTTTAAGTGATATTTTCAAGTCCAATACAGTTCTCAAATCTTTATCTGGATTATGTGTGAATTAATGAAAATAACAGTAGCGTAACTCCAAACCAGCTCCAAACGTGCAACCGATACTCTCTTAGGGTTGAATGCTTGGGCACACATGTGTCTGAACACACACCTCAAACTACATTTACGGATACTACTGGCCAGGCCTTGATCTAACAGTGAAATCATGCCTTTTTAAATTTAAATATCACTTAAAAAAAAAAACCTGTATGTATGGACCACCAAATCCTGTACTAGCTATTCAGAGCCTTTCAATATACAAAGTTCACATACATGGTGAGTGTTGTACCACTGAGCTAAAAAGAGATAATTCCCTTTAAGGCAAAACACCATGCTCACATAGAGGATGTCTATCCCCTACACCCTCCTCCCAGCGAATCACCTCCAAAAAATGCTTACATTCCACCAACATGAGAGAGATGAAGGATGCTTTCAAACAAGAAATGTACGGAAGCCAACCTAACTTCTCATAATTATTATGTTCACTTTCTATACCATGGACAGAGACCTGCAGTTTTTTCCCAGTTGCCTTCTGTAACAAGTTACTGTCATAGAGGCCCCAACCACTGCAGCCTAAGCCAAGCAGTTCTGGAAACTGCTGGACAGAGCAACCCCAATCCCTCCCCATATCTCAGCGTCTTTAGTGAGCACTCATATCTACATCTTAGACATGCTTTTCGCTTGCATTTTCTCAGAATGGTTCCTAAGGAGTGTAAATGGGACAAAGACTTTCCTTTTTTTTTTAAAAAAAAGGACACATTGGAAAAGGTACCGGGTTTCATTCAAATATAGTTTCATGAGAAAACACCTGACATACTCTTAAACATCAGGAATACTCTGTTTCCTCCATTTAACGCTCTGAAGCTTAAGATGAAACTTAATGAGAAATGAAGCAGGCCACTGGTGCAGCTCCAAGGGATTGTACAAAATGTGATCATTTTTATAAAACAAAAGCACACACAAGAAAGCTGCCACTGAAAGGAACATAAGCAGGGAATCTCTCATAAAGGAAGCAAAAGGAAAGAGGTGAAGGGGCAAAGCTAATTTGCAAGAAGAAGGTCAGCCTGCGAAAGAAGTATGTTTAGTCTGGAAAACAAAGGTTGACAGAAAAGCTGCAGTGTTTCCTTTCACTGACCCTGCCAAAGCCCTTCTGCATGGCTTTTAAATCACTTCCTACCTCCACTCCACCAATTCTCTTTCACGAGCTTCTTCAGTCCCACTGGCTATATACAAGGAAGAACATACTGTTGCTACTATGCCACCCTCTTGCTGTAAATGCCACCATCAGCCTCTGTCACCTTTACTGCTTTATTATGCACCTTCAAGTCACATTTTAATTGCCTCTTCCTTTGCTTTTATTTTTTAAAGGGTATTCAAGTGCTGTAGAGGTGAAAATCTGAATGAACTTTGGGCCAAGCTCTTTAAACCTATTCCCCCAAGCACTATAATTTAAAATACACTTCCCCCACGTATACACAACCTCATCCCTTCACTAAAGATTATAAATGTAATTTCACCAAATGCGTACCATCACAATCTTTTCCATTCCTCCATGATCCCAATGACTTTTTTTTTTTTTTTGCTAATATGCGAGCATTTGGAACAAAGAGTTAAAGCCAGACTCACCCCAGGTTTTAAGCATTTACACAACCAAAAGAACACCACAACTAGCACACCTTAATCTGTATTTTTATAGATAACTTGAGAAAGTTACTATTCAGTGTGTTACTGAATACTGAGTAGCCCAACAGTAACCATAAGCTGCGTAAAGCCCCACAATAACCATCATTTCCCTTCACAGCGTTTTTCTGTACTTGAAGCTCCAGAAGCATGACTTAACTTACAACTTTTCTGGCTTACCTCAACAGGTAGCGTTATTGGTGGTGGTGGCTTTTTCAGTTCTTCGCATTTTCTCTTTTTACATATCCGGTGGCTAGTTTTGCGTTTCCTGCAACAGCTGCATTCTTCACAATTTGTTTTCCGCAGACAAGGCTCGCAGACTCCACAACGCCTTCGTTTCTTCTTTTCTAGCATAGGGAACAAAGACGAATATGGAACGGGGTAATCACAAGCTGGCTTTTTAAGAGAGGATGGCCCGGAGGCCTCTGATGCTTCAATGCTGTCACTCATGCTGTCCTGAACCAAATTCAAGTTTATTCCAACGTTTTCCAGCTGTGATGAATAATCATTATGCTGCAGTCTTGAGTCAGCTGGCAAATCTACATTTATGGCTTTTTCAGAGGCAAGAACAGAGATTTCTGTGCTTGAAGGCAACACTGAAACAAAACCTTCAGAGAACTGTCCAGAGCTTTCACCGAAGATTTTATCCACTGTGCTTTTTTCCTCATCAGATGAAGTGGGGACATTACCTGAATTCAAAATTGAAGTTTCTGCATCAATACACTTAACAAGCTGTTCAATTTCCTCCACTTCAATATTGTTTAAAGAGGTATTGGAAGCTGATTCACATACTGAAAATATGTTTTTTGAGTCAGATTCTGAATTCTCTCTTGTACAGCTCTGATCAGAACCTGAGTTAAGTTCTTTGTGAACAGGTACAAAATCCATAACCATTTTTAAGTGGGATTCTGTAAATGAACTTGAGCCTTCAAAATGTAAAAGGGAATTTGATTCAGCGGTAGCAACTGAGTTGGAATGTGAAACAGGTTCTTCATTCACAGACTCTAAATCCCAGTCCACCTTTAAGCAGGATTCTGCAAGTGAACTTGAATCTTCTAAATGTTCTTGTGAGTCAAGCTCAGAGGTAAACATAGACGTAGAATTCAAATCATGTTCTTTATTAGGTAGCACCAGATCCAACTCTGTTTGCACCTGGGATTCAGCAGGTGGACCCAACTCTTCTAATGGTACTGCTGAACTGAGGTCTGAGGTATTGACAGAGCTGGACTTGAAATCAGGTTCATTACTGTTAGGCACCAGATCAAAGGAAGTCTGTAAAAGTACCTTTGAGTTTGATTCAGAGGTGATTGTAGAATCAGAAGGAGAAGATGGAAGCACAAGCACGGCATTTTCAACAAATGCTTCGACTGAACTACCCGTATTGACATGGCTGTGTGTCTGCTCACTGGGCAGCTCTTCTTGCTTACACTCCACCTCTGACGCTTCTGGATTGTAATCAGCTACTCCACTGTTTGGAATGGAGTCATTTGTTTCAGGTATTTCTTTCTCTTTGTCTTCACTATCACTTTTGGTGGCAGGCTCTTTGTCTGCACAGCATGGCAAATCCTCTCCAGGAAGAAGAGCTAATTCATTTTGTGCTAAATCTTGTTTCAAAATGCTTTCGCCTGCCTCAACATTTTTTTCTTCTACTACTGCCAGAGCTTCTTGTTCTTGTTTTTCCTTTGTTTCTAGCTTTTTCTGTGCTGCAGTTTTCCTGGGTTTTGCAATTGAAGTTTGGATCCATCTACGGGTGAATGTTCTGTTACGAAGAGACATTGTAAAGCCATTGATGTTGAAAGCATCCTGGCTATGAAAAAGAATATTGCCGGCTTTCTCCAAACTCACCCAAGATGCTCCAGACAAGGTTCTGGTTATGCTGCTCCTGAGAAGTCTACCTGATGAGCTCATGATTGGTTTCTTTTCTTGCTGTTTTTTCTTAACATCTTTTTCTTGGGCTGTCTTTTTGCACTTTCCAGAAGTAACAGCTCTTGTGGAAGTCTTTGTGGCTTTTTTCCTCACTTGACTAGATTTCTTTTTGCCTTGGTTAGTTTTTCTTTTGCCTAACTCTTCCTTTTTGACTAATCTGGAAGGCCTTGCGTGGTGAGCCATGGCTGTTTAGTAGTAGAAACTTTAAGAGGGGCGATGGAAAAAGATCATGAGCTCTTGAGAGAACTTTTCAATAGAAAACTGTACACTTCCATTGCTGCTCTCTGTAGTGGCACATAGTTAACTCTGGAAAAAAATAGAAAAAAGTATAAAATAACATTAATATAATCCTACTAAGCCAAGGAAGCATATATTAAGCTGATCATTTAAAAATAATGCTCAAAGGGACATGGGTACAAGTAGAAATATTTGTATCAGACATGAGATTTAATTAACACAGAAGCTTTGAAAACACTAGTAGTAGATTACAAAACCAAAAACTTGCCCAAATGCCTCTAATACACATGAAAAGGTGAACAAAACTCAAATGATCAGACAATAGCTTGTTTATCGTTTTACATTAATTAAAAAGCTTGATTTTTTTTTTCAATCTTTTTAGGGTTCATTAATTCCACTTCACTAAGAATGGGTAAGATTATATCTATGGGCACACTATGAAACATATACGCCTATTACTGTGACCCCACAAGACAAGGCGTAAAGCTGTGTTTATCTAGCACGCGTGGGCATTCACACACTTTCATGAGAGAGTCTTATTCTTTTGCCATCGCAGGCATGAAAGCACTAACTAGCTCCAGGAAGGTGGCTAATTCCCAGCACTGCTCGGAGAAGAACCAGAGCACACTAGAATAGCTCTTCCAAGTGTTACTGTCTGGTTATGTGTCAGCATAACACACTATACCACAAGCCTTGCTCCTGTTTTCCCTGGCTACACCAAAGAAACCCACTGTGGAAGCAACTGTCTTTGCTCCATCATTATGGTTACCATCATACTTGGCTTCAACAAAATACTACAAAGTTTATCCTATGTATTTGTCCCCAGATACGCCTACAAGGCAAAAGTCTTCACATTTCCCAAACACAACTTGTGCATCTCAGAGGATACAGTGGATACTCACATTCTTCTTGCTCCTAAGTAATTTCTTTCAAAGTAGGTGGCATTCTTTACATGTAAAGCAACTCTATTAGGTACACAGTTTCTTTATGCAGGCTTTTAAGTACCTATGGAAAGCCTTTAAAGCTTTCCTTTTCTATTGGAATAGATCAGATGGGAAGATAAGAGGCACCATAAAAATGGGAGCTGACCAATCCAGAGCAATATTGTAGTGTGAGACAAGAGGGTGCCTTCGCTTCCACATCATTCCGGTGAAATCCTTACGTCTAAAGTCACCTTCTAGTTTCTTATACCCCACTGCTGGAAGCGGGGAGAGGATGATGCCTGAAACACTGACTTTGAGAGGAAGCAGAAAAGGTAAAAAGCTCCTGGGCTCCAGGCAGCACCACCTCAGACGGCTGCTAAGCCAGAGCACATGCCCCTTCCCATGACCTCAACCCCATCCCGAAGCCAGCAGGGGAATCTTATAGAGGCAGCAGGTACCCAGAGCCTGCTCTGGTCTCTGGCCGGCAGAGCAAAGGAAAAGGCACAGAGCACACTGAGAGCAGCCCTGGGAGCAGAGCGGAGCTGAGCGCACTCCCGGCCTGCAGAAACACGTCTCTAGCACGAGCGGCACTAACAGCTTAGGACCATGGCACTGAACAGCGCAGCGCGGCGCCCAGGTAAGCGCAGCTGGCGTCCGCTGCACTGGGCTGGCGCAGCTAACACGGCACTTGGCGCAAGCACGGCGGCAGCTCGCTCGGGACGAGGGGTGGTGGAGAGCAGCAGAGCTAGGGAAAGCCCAGTCTGCACTTGGGACACGGCCGCAACCCTAAAGCTGCCCTCCCGCCACTCCACTCTGTGTTTCAGTAGCACAGCACAGCCAAGGCCAACAACTCCCCAGACTCTTTTAGACTCTCATTTAAAGCCATCTTGCAGCCCTTTTTTTTTTTTTTTTTATTCAGCAACAGTAAGCTGACAGAGCTTGTGTACTACAACATACAAACAAAACACCTCATCTAAACATGCTCTAATTATTTTGCACCGTATATTCATAAACATATTAAGCTAACATTATTACTGAGGCAGCAATTTTCAAACAAATACCATTTTAAAGTCAGCAGTACTATAGAAGAGAAGGCTGAACAGGCTTCTAATGTCTTTTCAGAAAATAATGCCTATTACACACCCGATAAGCAAACTAGCAACATCCCTGCTCCATCACAGCAAAACAGCCAACCTGCGGAGACTAAATATATCACTGATTGGGCATCAAAGGCCATAGAAAGGAAGGACCTGAACAGCTCACACAAGAATAAAACCTAGACCAGACACTAAAATAGCAAAGCAAATACACTGCTGAAATTAAAATAATTTGATTACTTCCCTCCCACTGCTCTTTTCTGGTTTGGGAAAGGAAGACTTTGCCATTAGCGCTCATTTTGTTACCTAAGCATGAAGGAGCATGCCAGAATCATGCTAGCAACTCCATGAAATACCTGTCAGCAGCCTGCAAAAAGCTACCCAAGTTTCTTGCAGTTTTGATGAGCGTGGGCCCTTCATTCCACAAAATAGCCCGCAGGCCTGTAAAACCAGTCGCAAACAAGCAGCAGGCAGCATATCTGCAGCCATTAGTGGCCAGGGCTACATAACAGTAGTCGGAGAGGAAATGCGAGTTACTCCCAGGGACTATAGCCAGTGAAGCAAGGAAGAAAGAAACCAAACCAGGCAGGCCAGGCAACATGGGAATGTGCGTATGAGGAGGGAACCAAAAGAGATGAGATAAAGTTTCTCCTCTTTATCAACCTTGAAACACAAGCAGAATGATGAGAGAAAACAGGAGACCAGTGGAAACAGTGACTGGATTTTTGAAGATACTGAATGGGTATGAGGGCTTTTTTAAAATTATTTTCTACACCAAAGTTGCCATTGCTCATGTTGAAAAGTGGAAATCACGATTTTTAATCATTTTTAATTTAATCTTGTAAACAGTGATGCTTTATTTTTTCTGTCATTTTTACTAGGTGATACTAGGTCTTTACCCACATTTAGAAGTTGCAACATGATCACTGAAGTACTAAGATCAGAGACCTGCATGGCAAAAGTCGTAGAAAAGTATCAAATCCAAAGTGCCAAAGTGTTACTTCTTTCCAGGGCCTAAAATTAGAGGCTGGTTGAAGATCTCTTTGTCTACGAAGATACTGACATTTGTAGAAGTTTGCCAGTCGTTTAAACAATGTTTTAGGCAGTTATTCAAGGCAGTTAGCATCTCTTGCTCAGGCACCACAATACAGAGAAGACATCAACAGCAGCTTTACCTGGTTTGTTTCAATTTCAACACGAAGAATTCATACTTTTCAAGAGATCCAGGCAATATATCTCAAAATATATCTCTTTATTTTGTCAAAACTCCAAACAAGTATGAGGATTTTACCTTCAAAATAATTACAGAATTTAACCCTATATTACCAATGTGTCTCTGGAGGAAAAAAAAAAAACAAAAAACACAACTTCTCTTATTTTCTTTCATTTTCTTACACACACAAAAGAGGAAATTTCTTTTAAGAATTGTTCAACAAAATTCTGTTTCGTAACTAGTTCTTGTTGGAAGGCGGAAAAAAGAAAGACTAAAAGGTGTTATCTCATAAAATGGTGGCAGTTCTTTCATGACATCATGAGACAGCAAACGACCTCTGAAAAAATACAGTTGCAGGACAAAAAAAAACCCAAAACAAAACACAAAGCCAGAACTAGAATTGACTAGTTTCACTACAGTCAGATACACTCATTAAATACATTTAGTTTCAGTGTTTAGGTATCTTTTTAAAAATCTCTTGAGACCTGCTGGGTGGGGAAACAGGACCTGGAAGCTTTCACAAGAGCCACTTAAAAATTACATACAGATCCCAAACAACATAGGCCACATTTAGATTTAGGACCGTCATAACATCTCAACAGTCTTAAATTGTAAAGTATCCTGTCTTTCAGTAGCAAAAACTCTAAAGAAAGATGCAAGGGACATCACAGGGGACAGAAATTAGAAAGTCCTGCCTTTACACCAGCTACAAAACCACATATATATATATATACACACACACACACACACCTTTTCACTCACTCTAGAATTACATTATAACATTTGAATATTCTTCTCAGTTTTATCAATGCTAACCTTTTTTTCCTTTTTTTAAAATAATTTTGTTAAACTCCCTCTCTGCTTTCAGTCACCAGCAGGCAGTCCTGACAAGCTCACTCTGTAGTGCACTGGGGTTTCTATAATCTCTCACACTGTTCAAGACGACTGTTTTCTATTTTACTAAGTACGCGCCTTCTATTTTACTTTCCAGGAATAGGGCTCAAGGTAAGCAAGCACATTTTACTCGTCTTAAACCTGGGTTTACAGCAATAGCTTGGAGTAAATGAAAGTCTGGGACAGGTTCTGCAGAATGCCAACTAGCTTCTCACAAATGTTCACTCAAAGCATATTCCTAGATGCTTAGTCCCCCTCTAGTCCCCTCTAATTCTGTACTGATGCTATTTTAAACCTTGCTTTTCTTTCTTGACCCCATTGTCTGGGGACTTTACCTTCTTAGCAAGCAACAACAACAAAAGTAACGAAATCACTTTATCTCAGACTCAATTAAACGAAGGGGGAGGTGGAGAGAAGACCCTTCAGGCAAAGATTAAGCCTGGAAAATTTCAGCCTGAAAGGTGTTTTGAAATGTAAGCAACTGAAAACACAAAGCAGGATGAAAACGCTTGGGCCAGTTTTAACAACCATGGGTAGCATGCCAGGTAAAACACCAGCAGTAGAGATTTTGAATTATTACACCTTGAAAACTGAAGTCTTACAGAAATCATCAGTGTCAGAGTTATTTGGTACATCTCACCATGAATTCTTCCCTGATTACCTGCCTCACCTGACTGAGACCATTCTTGTTGACTCCAGAATCTCCTAAGAGGACTAAGCCTCATCCTACGAGCAAATCACCACTACGCTTGCAATGCTAGAGAAACTCCTTCTGAAAAGCACAAACAAGTCTTCTCTGTTATAGTCAGGGACAAGTTGTCCAATTTTGCCCCGATTAAGAATAAACTATCTATACTCCTAGTTCACACTGACATGAATGAGATGATAGCCTTAGAAAGAGCCCCAAGCCCAGCCTGTTAGAGTTACTATTTGGAATACTTCATTATTATTTTCACACTTTTCTCCATTGGCTTTAAAATTTGAAGGCATATTAAAAGATGCCATGTGCTTTGCCATGTTTCCTACCTCTGATGCTGGTGGAAGCGGACAAAGGTGCACTTGCATTGTTAGAGCAATGCTTCTGGAACCAGAGCTCTCCGGGCAGCTCCACGGCTGGAGCGATTGCAGGGCTGACGCACACGCGTGTACACTGACATCAGTGTGCTTGCAGCCTGCTCTGGGTGCCCCTTTGCACCCTTCCTTCTCCCCCTTAAAGGAGGAGCATCTCACCTCACGGGGCAGCTGTGTTGTAGGCCGACATTGGAGTCATGTGGCCCGCACTGCTCTTTAAATGCTGCTGGGGTGCCCAAGAGGCTGGCTGCACTGCCATGTCAGATCCCTTTGCACACCCGTGCTCCTTGGCCTCGCAGCCTGTACCTGTGCCCACCCATTGCTCCTGCTCCCCAGCAGGCCCTTGCTCCCTACGGCGTCTCCTTCCTGCCCAGCCT